TACATAAGATCTAAGGCAAGTCTAGCCAATGATTTACTAAAAATTGAGACATTTATAAAGAGAGACCAATGACACACACAGAACAAAGACAAGATAGGAAGACTGTTACCCCTCAAATTCAGTTAATTCTTGACTGATATACAACCGAGGGATACTTTTTCGTCATAATGCATTCCACTTATTCATTGTAATACATTTTATCAGAAATGTTCATTTTGGGTCTGCTGAAATGGTTCATTGGGTAAATGTTCCCACCACCAAGACGCTTGACCTGAGTTCAGCGTTAGAACCACAGATGGGAGGAGAGAACTGACTTTGACCAGTTTCCTTTGAGCTCACCATGGTATACACTTAATTAAGACACTGAAATATTTTTTAAAAATTAAAGAAATGCTAGCTCTTTCCTCAAAGAAGATTGTGGACTTTATCACAGACAAATTACATCCTAACTGGATATGGGGTTACCGGCCTGGAGTCTGTGGCAGACTTTGGAACCTGAGGCAGAAGGATCCTAAGTCTGAGGCCAGCCTGGACTACACATTAAGACCTTACTAAAAAAACAAAACAAAATAAAACCTATGTTCTAGACCCAGGTTAAGGTAGTTTCATAAATTTTAGATTGGTGTGTGTATGTAGGTTGGAAAGTGTTTTACTCTGTAGCCTGGAACTCATTATGTAGTTCACAGTGTACTTCAACCTGTGGCAAGCCTCCTACCTCAGTCTTCCAATTTCCAGAATTATAGGTGGCATACCCTACCAAATAAGTTTAAAATTTTGTAAATGACCAGCATTTGTGTTAGCTCACAAATATGCTTGAATAGAATATCTAACTTTTTCTGTTAATTTTTTTTTTGTATATGTGTGTGTGGAGGGGTGTAGATGGCTTATTACTTAGGTTTAAATTGCCGTTTATGTACTAGAGAGCGCTACTGAAGGGAACCTAAAATATCTGTCAGGATTAAATAATTCATGGTTTGCTGAAGTTCGAGGAAAAACATCAGATGACCTTTTAAGATGTTTTCTAGCTCTGTGTCCAAAGCGACCATTTCTGTTACCAAAGACTTCCGTCTGATAAGGACGGGGATTGCGATAATTTCCTGGCAAATTGTAGGTCAGAGCAGTTTGTGCCGCAGACCGACTAGCCTGAGGCCTTCTGCAGTCTGATGGATGTCCCAGAGGAGGCCCAGCCCGCCCCAGGCATGCGCACTGTCGCTGCCACCCCCCCTCCCCCAAGAGAAGTTGATTGACAGCGAGAAACCCCTGAGCCTGCCACCAGCCTAAACTGACTGACCCAGACTGCAGCTCCAGAGCCAGGTCGCTCAACTGTGCAGCAAGACCCCTCAGGCCAGCTCAGGGTGGCTTAGCCCTGCCTGCATCGCCCTCTTCCTTCCCCTCCTGTTATTCTGGGCTCGCATTTACTGTTCCTCCTCTCTCTTCAGTCTTCTTTCCCGGAAAGCTGGGTTAGGAACAGTGGTAGCCTCTGTTCGTTCGTTCATTCATTTACTATTTATTTATCTATCGAGTTGATGTTTTGAGAAAGCCTCATGCAGTGTAGACTGGATTTAAACTTGCTATGTAGCCAAGGGTGCGGATGAATTCCTGATCCTCCTGCCTCCACCTCTGAGTGTGGCTGGGATTACAGGTGTGTGGGCTATATCCAGGCTCTCTCTCTCTCTCTCTCTCTATCCATAGCCTGGAGATACATACATACATACATACACACACACACACACACACACACAATATATATATATATATATATATATATATATATATATAATAAAATTACCGGTTATCAATAATTTCAGTTTAGTTTCTCTATCATATCTTGGCTGTTGCTCTTCCTCTCTCAAATGTCATAGATTCAAATTACTGTGCTTATCTGAGAGCTTGTGTATTTCTTCCATTTCCATTCTGCTTTTTATTAAATTTAACAATGTGGGGGATAGGATCTAATGATTTTTATTGAATACGTGGGTAATCACAGACGTTCCGCACAACTAACATGAAAAATGTGGTCAGAAGTGTTAAAATAGTTCCTAACCGCCACAGAATGGAACACTAATGCCCAGAACTAGAAAACTAGAACAAGATTTTTACTTAATGACCAAGTGATTGATCGTCACTGTACATCGTTAAGTGAAGGAAGAAAATGAAGAGCAATGACTGTATCAAATTACTCCGGCCGTAAAGAAATGAGACAAAAGACCCAGAGGTGATAGCTCATTCCTTGTAAGCAGCATTTTAGGCAACTGAGGCAGGAGGATTGTCGCAAGATTGATGGCAGCCTGGAGAAACAGCCAGACCTTGGGTGGGGATGGGAGGCAACACAAAAGAGCTGGTGGTTCAAGTTTGTAACATGCAGGAAGGCTGAGGCAGGGGGATTTCCAGCTTAAGGCCAGCTCGGATGAGATAGTGAGACCCAGCATTCTATCAAAAACAAACTAAAAAACTGTTTCAGTGGGTGTCCCCAGCATGATCTTGACCTCTTTGCTCATATTCTCACTCCTCCCACTCTTTAACTGGACTTTGGGAGCTCAGTCCAGTTCAAATGTAACTAATTTTAGAAAACACAATTTATAAAACTCTCCAAAGACTACCTACTACACTTTATAAATGTATTTAATGAGAAGACATTCATAAACTATATTTTCACACACACGCAAATCTATGTTTGGTTGTATTTCTTATTCATTATAATTCCTAAATTTAAATGATTCATTACATTCTTAATAGGGCAGGAATAGGTAAGCAACTGTCTCATTAAACAGGAGTATGTGATATCATCTTTGGTAAAAAGATGCATATTTTGGACTGGCAAGATGGAGCGTTCTATGTGTTGACGCTGAGCAGAATTGCAAACACATGGTTTATGAGTCAGGGTTCTCTAGAGGAAGAGAACTGGTGTGTGTGTGTGTGTGTGTGTGTGTGTGTGTGTGTG